TCATGATTCGTGAAGTTCCTACCTCCCCCATGAGTTTAAGGTTCCGTTGATACGGATGTGGCGGTTGCAAGAGATGCACCGTTCGCTAGGGCTTCGCTACGGCGGAGTACCTGCCTCACATAAAGAGAAAGATTGAGAAAGAAGAGAAAAGAGAATCATTAGAAAGAAAGCAAGAAAGAAAGAAGAGAAAAGAGAATCTTCAGAAAGAAAGCAAGAAAGAAAGAAAGAAGAGAAAAACGAGTCAAGTGACTCGACAGAGATCCTCCACAGTAAAAGTAAACCTTTTTCAAATAAGAGTGAGAGTATAAGTATATATCTACATATATATGTATCCAGCATCATATCATTACTTATGGAATTGCATCATGACATAGCATGTCTTATTTGAATACATGAGAAGTAAAGTATCATACATGACTTAGCATATGTTTCATTTAGAGCATTTGAGAAGTACAATTTCATCATTATATACGTGTTATCATGAAAACATGATTTTACTTGTTAAACTTCAATTATTGCCTTATCTATCAGTTTGTTTGTGAGTAGTGCATAATAGACTATAGTTGGTTATATCTGTTTATAGTATGTGAATGTATTCAAGTATGAGCTATGAGTCATAGCATGTTGATATGAGTTATAGGTTGTGACCATATAGAAGTGTTTATGTATATCTATTGAGATTCGTTGACTAAGTGCCTTGATTGCTTATATTTCATACTTGAGAGTATGTGTGAATGCAAAATGTTTTCCAACCTATATCTATAGTACTTTACAGGGTTGAGTGGCTTTATCCTTAGCATTAATTGCTAACGGATTTATTTTCCTACTTGTTTTATAACCCCTTTCAGGTGGGCCCAATTCTTGAGAGCGTACGATGATAGTTTAGTGCGTAGCTTTATGGTGGTAGTTACTAGATGAGTATTTCTACCCTTAGTAGTACTTTTGACAATTTTAGTTTGAACTACCTTTTGTTGGTGCGTAGACACCGGGGTTTGTTCCCCACGTTATGTTATTTTGTAGAGATTTTGACTCTAGTTTTGATAGATGTTTTGTAGCCTGTGCAGTTACCATGAGTGGTGACTGTGGCGGTGATACCCTTTTAGTTTATCGTATGGTTGGTTATTTAGTTATCTAAGTTATAATCATTTATCTTAACTAAGTTTGTTTATCGGGATTTAGATTTTAGAAAAAAATGGTTGTTACAGAAGGTGTCAAAAAAACCCTGACCGGGTACCTGATTAAATCCTTCTGCAACCAATCTTGCTTTGTAGCGATCGATTGTCCCATCAGCTTTCCTTTTAGACTGAAATGGGACAAGATACCAGGTTTCATTCTGAAGGAGCGCATTAAATTCATCATCCATAGCCTTGTGCCATTCATCATGCTTAGCAGCCTATGTATAACAAGTAGGTTCAGTGGGGCAAACCTGGGCTGATAGAGCCAAGAGAGGACCGTCAGGGTGACTACAAGTGGCCATGGAGTGAGTCCAAAACGTAGGGCGCGACGACCGACCCCTTGGCTGGCCACGGAGTCGCAGGCGCAGGTTCGGTGTCCGCCGAGTGTAACACCCCGTGTTACGGCCTCTAACCCAAACTAAATATTTAATTACTTACTCCTAAAAAGAGAATTAAATTCCCTTAATTAATTAGGAAGGGTCCACCATAGACCATTGACCCTTATCCCTAAATCAAACCCTTAATCCTATAAGAAATGGAATTAGTAAACCCATACCATTCAGACCCTAATTATGACTCTTTGTGTTTATATATATACGTTAGTATATTGCCGTTAGATCCTTGTTGGTCTCTCAATGGGGATATATATACTTAAGCACACAATATACTAACGTATATATATAAACACAAACAAGCACTACAGGAGGATGTATGATTATTATGGACACATTATAATTGTTATATACATAGATTTACTTACACATACAGATATTCGAAAACATATACACATGTAGGAGCCACCATTTACCAATTTATAAATATATGCACATAAACTCATATGTATGATCACTCATCATAAGATTAAGGTTGCACAGTACCATATTTATATATTTATACGCATACGAATTTACATGCTACTACTCATTTAAACAGTTTACAGATTAACCACAATTTCCACCAAGTTCATAAATCACATAACAAATATTCTCAAATACTGAGAAAAATAATCTTTGAAAGATTTTGAAAAAGGTTTAACATATAAGCACTTAGGAAAATCGGGTTTTGATTTGGGGTAAAAGAACTTTGAGTAGAAATAAATCTTACCTGGAATCAGAATCAACAAAATCCTTGAATTAAATCCTACGATGAACAGATGAGAGAACCTGATGATGACTGATGAGGAAGAAGACTAATCGGTGACTGAATTGAAGAAGAAAGCTACGTAGAATTTTTTCCCTTTTGTGTTCGGTGATATTGGGAGAATGGAAACGGTGAGAGTCAGAGAGTAACACAACTTAGGTTTAGGAAAATTGGTATGAATAAGGATTATAGTAATTATATATATAATAGGACTCTGCAATAGTATATATTTGTTTTCAACCGCTTGAGTTAGGGAGTAGGATAAATATATATACATTAGCTAACAATAACTAATTAGTCTAGGTACTTTTATATATATATATATATATATATATATATATATATATATATATATATACACGTAACATATTTATCTATATAAATATATATATTAGTTTAAGAAATAGGAAAATTAGTTATTATATTATGTTTAGAAATAAGGGAGAGCTATAAAATAATAATAGTAACTAGTCTCAAATGATTTTGGGTCACATCAAATAATATAATAATAATAATAATAATATAATTTTGGATTATTCAAAATAATTTTGAATTTTGACGGATATTAATAGCAAATAATATTATCAAAAATAATCGGGGTGTCACACTCTATCCCCCTTAAAAGATGCTTCGTCCCCGAAGCATAGTCATAAGTCAATAAAGAATAACGGAGACTTGACTAATAGGGAACTCAAGAGACTCAAACTTAAGTTCAATACACTACAATAAAGACAAAGTATTACACGCCCGGTCGTGGCGGGTGACGGGTGGCGGCTGGGCTCGTGGCGGTGGCGTGTCGTCGGCCGCTGTGGTGGTGGCTCGCCGTCGGGGAGCGTAGCGGCGAGTGTGGTGGTGGCTGGTGGCGTGGCGGTCGGTTTGTGGGGATGAGGAGGGTGGCGGCGGTTTTGTTGAAGGTGAGGAGAGGGAGAGAGAAGGTTGTGTGCTTGGAGGAAGAAGAAGGGTTTTTGATTTGGGGGTTTTGTGGGTTTTGGGGATTTTGTAGGGGTTTAAGAAGGGAGTGTTCCCTTGAGGTTTCAAGAAACACTCATAGTCTAGTGGTTAAAGACTTAGTCTTACAAGTGGGAGGTTTATGGTTCAATCTTTATTGGTAGCATTAGTTTTCTTTGTTGTGCACCCCTTGTTGGACTTTTGTCTTTAGTGGATGTTGACTTTGGTGACTCATGGGTTCTCGGGATCGTCTAGTCCTTTATGCTAATTTATTTTGATTTTGTTTCTTTATTTATAATAATTCCGAAGTAGCTAAACAAGTAATTTTACTACGAGGGTGTGATTACAGGGGGTTTCACTAATCAACCTAAACAGAATTCGTCCCCTTGGTTTTATCCTGATTGGTTTGTGGGGTCTTCGTCTCCCGGGGCCACGTTTTCTTCATCGAAGTTGCCTTCGTTTTCAAGTTCGGCCTTAGTGCGGCTCATGACGAACACCTTTCCGGGTGCACCGTAATTTCCTTGATTGTTCGAGCCTCCGTGTTAGCCTATGACTGGTGTACCCTTGTTGGGATTTACCGAGGCTACCATTCACCCCGAAGGAAAAATCGTCCTCCCGGTCGAGCTAGGAACTTCGCCCAAGTCAGTCAAGATGGAGATGGAATTTGTGGTCGTGAATCTTCACTGCATCCACAACGTGATCCTAGGCCGCCCGACCATCATGAAGGTCGGGGGAATTATATCTATGCCGCACCTGTGCATGAAGTTTCCTACCCCGGCTGGGGTTGGAGTTCTACGCGGTGACGCTTAGTAGGCCAGGAAGTGCTAATCCCGAGCAGTGAATCGGCGGGATGCAGGTTCTTCCCGAGTAAACACAATCATCAGGGAGGCCGTTAAGGACCGGAAAGAACAACCTGAGCCGTCTAAAGAGATCGAGGAGGTTCCTTTGTCAGAGGACTAGCCAGAGAGAAAGGTTAAGATCGGTCGGGCCCTTACCCCTGAACTTCGACTGGTGGTGTTAGCAATACTTCGGGAGTTTGCTGACATATTCGCATGGGGGCCCGAGGATATGCCCGGGATTGATCGAACGGTTATTTGCCATCGGTTGGCTGTAGACCCTACCGCTAAACCGATCGTTCAGAAGACTCGACATTTGTCCTCCGATCGCCGAGAGTTTGTTTGTGAAGAGGTGAAGAAGATGGTCGTGATCGGGCACATTCGCCCGGTCACGTATCCCGAGTGGGTGGCCAATATAGTGTTGGTCCCTAAGCCTCCATCCTGGAGAATGTGCATTGACTTCACCGACCTGAATAAAGCGTGCCCATTGGATCCCTACCCCTTGCCGAGCATTCATCAGATGATCGATGAAACGGCCGGGGCTGAGCTGATGGGTTTTATGGACGCTTTCAAAGGTTATCATCAGATTATGATGAGCCACGAAGACGAGAGCAAAACGGCGTTCGTCAAGCCTAATGGTTTATATTGTTACCGGGTCATGCCGTTCGGTCTACGCAATGCAGGAGCAACATATCAGCGCATGGTCAACATGCTCTTTGAGGACCTGCTAGGCCGGACGATGGAAGCTTACATTGATGATATGCTGGTGAAGAGTCGGGACCGAGCGGACCACACTCGGGATCTCCGACACTGCTTCCAGATCATGCGAACGTACCAGCTACGTTTGAACCCAACCAAGTGCACGTTCGCTGTACAAACCGGGAAATTCCTGGGATATATGATGACGAAGAGGGGGATTGAGCCAAATCCCGCCAAAGTTAAAGCAATCGTCGACATGCAACCACCCACAACCGTCTGGGAGGTCCAACAATTGACCAGGAGATTGGCAGCCTTGAGCAGATTCCTCTCGAAGTTGGCTGAGCGCGCTTTACCTTTCTTTAAAGTGCTCTGTAAGGTCAATGGATTTGTGTGGGATGGTGAATGTCGAGCGGCTTTTGATTATTTGAAGGAGTATTTGATGTCTCCAATCGTGCTGTCTAAACCCGAGCCCGGGGAAGAGCTTGACGTCTACTTAGCCATATCCGATCGAGCTGTTAGCGCGGTGTTATGCCGGACAGATCTGGAGGGGGTGCAGCGACCGGTTTACTATGTGAGCCACGCGCTCCATGGTCCCGAGCTCCGTTTCTCCCGACTAGAAAAGATTGTCTACGCCTTATATACAGCGGCGAAGAAGTTGGCTCCTTATTTCCAAGGACGAGCCATACGTGTTTTGACGGACCAACCGATCGGGGCAGTCCTCCGCACCGCTTCGTCATCCGGACGCTTAGTCAAGTGGGCGTTAATGCTGGCGCAATATGCAATAGACTACCGACCGCGCCCGGCGATCAAAGGCCAGGCTTTGGCCGATTTTTTAGTCGAGTGCACCGCTCAGGAAATTCAACCTCCAGTTGAAGAAGATCCTGAAGCGGCTTGGTGGACGTTGGCTGCTGATGGGTCAAGTAGCAAGAAGGGAGCAGGTGGAGGAGTTGTGATCACGAGCCCAGAGGGGTTTATGGTCTATTATGCTTTAATGTATCAATTTGCCCCGACCAATAACGAGGCCGAGTACGAGGCATTTGTCAACGGTTTACAATGCGCTCGGGAATTGGGGGCTGATTATATCCGGGCACAGACCGACTCAGCGTTGGTGGTCGGGCAGGTCCTTGGTGATTATGAGGTCAACGGAGAACGGCTACAAGCTTATCGTGACTTAGGGATGGAGAAATTGAATTTCTTCCGGGCATATACTGTCCGTCATGTTCCCCGACTGGATAATGCTGATGCAGATATCCTGTCGAAGCTAGCACATGACGCACCCGAGCATATGTCTAAGATTGCTCAGATTTTGGTGATTCCGAGACACAGTATTCACCGTTTACCGGTCACCCCTATTCAACCGGCTGAGGAAACATGGATTTCCGATTTGATGGAATACCTGCAGCATGACCGGTTGCCGGATGTTCCACAACGGGCGCGAAAGGCGAAATTGAGGGAACCAAGATTTCAGGTGCAAGATGGACGGTTATACCGACGATCATATGGTTGTCCTTTGTTGCGATGTTTGAATTCTTTTGAAGCAGACTTGGTTATGAATGAGTTACACTCGGGCATATGTTCGTCGCACCAAGGAGGTCGATCGCTGGCTCGACGCATCATGGTGATCGGGTACTATTGGCCGTCCATTCAGCTAGATTGTGAAAAGCTTGCTAAGAGTTGTGAAACATGCCAATTGTACGCTCGGATGCCTGGTCGTCCGGCAACTTTTTATCAACCGGTCACGACCGCCATCCCGTTCGCTCGATGGGGGGTGGATATCTTGGGGCCTTTTTCGCAGCTGTCCGGGCGACGACGCTTTGTCATCGTGGCGATTGATTATTTCTCCAAATGGATTGAGGCCGAGCCCTTGGCCACGATCACTTCTCAGCAATGTGCCAGGTTTTTATGGCGGAATGTCATCTCACGGTTTGGCGTTCCCATTCATTTGATAAGTGATAACGGTCGACAATTTGTGGGCCAGTACTTTCAGAACTTCTTGGCAACAATCGGGACAACTTCGATCCGATCATTGGTGGTTTACCCGCAAGGAAACGGCCAAGTGGAAAATGCTAATCGAACTATCTTGGAAGGATTGAAGAAGAAGCTACACTCAGCTGGTCATAGTTGGGTCTAGGAGCTCCCGTATGTGCTTTGGACATATCGCACGACCCCTAGAGAGGCAACGTTGGAAACACCGTTCGCTCTAGTATGGTGCTGAAGCGCGATTACCGATCGAGGCATGGATCCCGATAGCCAGAGAACGATCTTACAATGCGGAAGAGAACGAGCACTCTATGGCTGTGGATCTAGATGGTGTTGAAGAGAAGAGAGAAATTGTGGCTTGGCGCATGACCGAGTATCAAAAGAGGGTGAAGAGTACTAAAGACGTGCGGGTTCATCCACGATACTTCCAAGTTGGAGACTATGTACTACGACGAAGAGAGGCCAGTCAACCCTTGGAAGGGGGCAGACTAGCTCAAAATTGGGAGGGACCATATGTAATCACATCGGTCGTTCGCTCGGGTACGTACCGATTGGAAACAACGACCGGGAGAGCAATCGATGGCACTTGGAATTCCGAGAATTTGGTCTTATTCCGTCACTGACTTTGTTATAAAACTTCTGATGGGGTGGGGGCTCAACCTGCGAGTGGGCACGCTCATCTTTTGTTGTATATGTAAAATAGGTATCAATATGTCCGTCTGCGAACGGGCATAAAGTTTGCAATGTCGTTCGATGATTGCTCGCTTGTCTGTGCACGGCGGCTCGACCGACTGTCAAAATATGTAAATAGCAAGTAGTTTGATTAAATTCCAATTTATTTTGGTCGTGATTCATCTGATCAAGATTCAGCATCAACGATCCAGTCGGGCGAAAGCCCACCAAGCACAATGTCGCTTAAACTTGCCCGATTATACCGGGATAAAAAAATATCGGTTACAACCGATACAGGTACAACCCCCTCACTGGCACCGACCGACAGGGGTAAAAACCTATCAGATTATACAATCATCTACATCTCATCCGGGCGGATTGTAACGCCAACGACAAATCGCTCATTTTCGGCGAACTGTCGTGTCACGCCATCGCTCGGGAGAACAGGACATCCGGGAGAGCAGAGCTCGATAAACCTACCTTAACTACTCTCGTACTCATTCGTTCCTCATGTGTTCGACAGTGGGGGCTAAGGAGGGTTATTAGGTTGATAGGTTGATCGATGGATTATTAGGTTGGTCGATTGATTACGGATCGATATTATGTACAGATCGATTGATCGCAAAAATTGAAAATGTTCATAACGGACAAAGTATAAAAGAAGCATACAATTCCATTCATTCAAAAGGAAAAGTTGCTCGGCACAAATGGGACCGGGCTCCCGAGCGGTTTAAGTTCACAAAAATTAAAATTACAAGATCGGTCGGAGACTACACGACCTTTTCGTTAGCCTTCTCGCCGGCGCTTGGTTCGGCTGTGGCTTCGGAGGAAGATGGCTCGGTGAAGGGCATCGGGATGGGATCGGGAACCTCATCCGGGAGAGTGGCCAGCACGGCCTTCAGGTCATCACCTTCGAAGACCTCCTCCATGATCGACCGGGTCTCTTCCCGCATGGCCCGTTGGCCGGACTTATAGGCCCAGTGGCCGAACAACCACACCTTCTCCTCCGCGAGCTTGTTCTTCATAAGCTCTCGGAAGAACTTGTCAGTCGTAGGCTCGTCCCGGCACAAGAACTTCGCCAAACCTCCAAGATTGCCCAACCAGGTCTTTAGCTCGTTGGCTTCCCTTAGCGCAACCCGAGCGGCCTTCTCCGCGATCGCCTGGGCTTCTTTGGCCGCCTTCAGTTCCTCTTGAAGCTCGGCGTTCTCCTTCCCGCGCCGCTCGGCGACCTTTTTCAGGGCCTCGGCCTTGTTGGCCAGCAGCGCCCGGTACTGAAGACTTTGAATCGCCCGGGAGACCTGTGAAAACAATTGATTATCTCGAGCGATCAAAGTTGAAAAATAAAGTTAAGGGATAGTAAAAAAAACCTCGACCAAGTCTTGGGCACCCCACTCGGCTATCTGTGCCGGCGTCCATTTGCTCCTGTCTTCCCCGACCGGCTGTAGATTGGTTAGCCGGGTGAGGAGAGACTGCTCACCACTTGAGACGACCCCGGTCAGAGGGCTTTGCCTGCGACGCCGCTTAAGAGCGCCCGTCTCTTCTACGTCCTTCACGGACGCCTTTTCTTTGCCCTATCGCGCGGGAACCCGGGGGGCCAGTGGATCGACCGTGATATCACTCGGCACCACGGTGGAAGCACCGACCGGTTGAGCGGTCGGGACAGAAACGTTAACGCCATCCTGCTCGGCCGATGTCTCGGCCTCAACAGCCTTTTTCCCGAGCGTCATCTTTGCTCGGGGGGCTCGGGGTGTGTTAGCGGTGGGAAAGCCACGAGCTAGACCCATCTCTGCAATAAAAAAGAATAAGGTTAAAACAATAAACGATCGGCAAGAAATGGTCGGGAAAGAATGGTTAATGTTAGACCTTCGTCGGTTGGCTTGGCTTGTGGCGCCGCTACGACAATCGATACGCCCGTTGGTCGGGGCTTATATTTTCGCTCTTGGTCGTATTGAGGTGGCGGCAGCCGGGCGTTGTCGTAAGCCTCCCGTGTCCGGAAGATCTTGTACTCGTAGAACTCGCACGAAATTCGGAAGGTTGCTTCGCAAAGTGCCCGGGTCTCGGCTGGTTGCACTTGCTTCCTATAGTGCGTTCCCCAAGTCCGGTCGACCGGGAGGATCCATGGGTCGTACTCGACCGAGAAGATCCTATTCTTTCACCCCCTATTTTTTCCCGGGAGGTCGTCGATCGAGCAAAGATGGTCCCGGGATTGTATTACCAAAAACCCGCCTCCATACTTGGCCGCTAAGGGCTTGACCGTATAAATGTAGTTGAAGAGCTCCATCGAGCACATGGCGTTGTGCCGAGCGCAGATCTGCGGGAAGCACGCCAATATACGTTGGGCGTTCGGGCATATTTGAGTGGGCAACAACCGGTAGTAGCCTAAGAACGCAGTCAGTAGGGCTGAAAAGGGAAATGAGATCGGGGCTTGCAACGAATCGAAGTGCATCCCGATCCACTTCCCTTGGTGTCGCTCCTTAATTCCTCCTAGGCTCCTACGGGTATCGAATTTTATTCGACCGCTTAGCCTTGCGGAGATCCTCGCCGCTTCGCGAGTTGTCAGTACACATTCTTGGTGGTCGACACTTTCACTGTTGAGAAAAACGAACTCCGGCTCGGCGGCTGCTGCTGCGGTCGGTTCTTCGTCAACCGGATCAAGTGTGGCTTCCCGATCGCGTGAAGAAGTGGAAGCTCCATGATCAGCCCCGATGGTTCTCGTGGGCGTCTCTCGAACGTGCTCGGTCGGTGATTCACGACTGCTCGTCGAGGTGTTGCTGCTGCTATCGCTGCCGCTGCTTGAACTGCTCGACCCCGATGAGCTCTCTGAGCAAGAAGAGCTGTGTTGATCGGGGATTTTACTCGGTCGTTGGACGACCTCAACAACTTCAGGCGAAGATTCCTCTACCGAAACGTTCTGGCTATCTGAGTCGGACATATCCCCTTCACAAAGGAGATGGTCAGTTCAGCGGAAGGGGTCGGTTATTTTGGTCGGGGTCAGTGAGTTATCATAGTCGTTCGTTGTGTGAGGAATAAGAGAAAGACTTAAAAGAGGAAATAAAAAGATGAGAAAGAAGTGACTTACCAATTAGTGTAGCTGGTCGGGAGGAAAAAGGTTGTTGCTCGATTGATTTGCTGTGCTAATTGCTCGGGAAGCTCCGGTCAATTCTCACGGGGTGGTAAAAGTTAAAATGAACCTCGGAGAGGCCTATTTATAAGAAACGTTTTGGCGGGAAACTACCCACTTGCGCGATTTGACCGTTACAGACCCCAAGGCGCCTGCAGATCGACAGGTGGCAGGGGAAATGACAGCTGGCCGGTCGGGATTTAAGCCCGAGTGACAAGGACTTTCCATCCCGTCCCGTTTTCTCCCGAGCGGTCCAAAACACCCCGGGCTGGGGGGCTCTTGGTAGGATATATCCCGACCGACATAGGTTGGGTTCATCTTGTTGTTTATGCAGGATCTTTAGGTCGGGCATCGTTCAGACAAGGTGGTCGGACCCGACCGCTGGGATTCCCGACCGGTGTTATTTCCCAGTTATCGTGCCTTTACCTTATGAAGAGACAAAGATGTTGAAGAGATGCACGTGGCAATGTTGTATGTCGACATAGAGGGCTCGCCGGGTGAAGACGCGTGGACGCTACGTGGGTTACATGCCGGTAGGCCGGAAGTTTGTCTCCGGCCAAAAGTTATAAGTACCCACGGCGGCTATAGTGAGAGGGACTTTTGGACGATCAAGAGGTTATTTACATAGCAGCCCGACCGCTGTCAGTCGGCCCTCGGGATAACCATTTAGATTGTATTAGGTCATCTTCTTATCAATAAAATCCCCTTCTATTATTATTGGTTGTACTCATTTAGTACTTTGACAACATACACGTGGATATTTGTACTATCAATATATATATATATATATATATATATATATATATATATATATATATATATATATATATATATATATATATATATATATATATATATATATAGAATTAGGTTCTGGTGCGGTTAGGGTGTTCAGGTGCGGTTGTGCGGTTTAATCTGGGCCATTCATCTCGCTTAAATAAACGTCCAGGATTACCAAAATTTTTAAAAAAGACGCGGTGGTAATATTGTAATTTTTGCATCTAGGTCAAAATTAAGGTGAGCGGATCTGTGATTAATGTGCGTGAGTTTTGTATATAAGATGCATGAGTTTTGTGGGTAATGTGCGTGAGGTTTGTGCTTAATGTGCGTGGGGTTGTGCTTAACGTGAGTAGTTGTTAAAACTTAAAGTCTGAGAGTTAATACTTAAAGTGCGTGGGTTTTGTGCTTAATGTGCGTGAGTTTTATACTTAATGTGCGTAAGTTTGTGCTTAATGTCAGAGTTGTTGAAACTTAAAGTCTGTGAGTTAATAATTGTGAGATTGTGCTTAATGTGCGTGAGATTGTGCTTAATGTGTGTTGGATGAAGAAGCATGCATCACGTCTAAATGACCAAAAGC